TCCCAACTTCTTGTGCACCTCCAGCCTTCTCAGTCGGTAGAGCATGGGAAGCTGAAAAGTCCTTGACTAATGTAAGCACTACCTAGCAACAACTAAAACATCGGTGTGTTATCAACATTGTTCTCATCCTAAATCCAACACACAGCACTGTACCAGCTACTAAGAAGGAAATTAACTCTATCCCTGCCGAAACCAGGACATATGTCCACAGTGGTTATTTGCTGAATTGGTTCAAACATCAGCAAAACACTCACGTTTGCCTCGCTAGCCTGCCTAGTCCTCCTCTCCTGGGGTCTTCCTGCTCATCCAGCTCTGCCTCGCTTCCCAGCAGCTGAGCTCTCTCAGTATGTGTCAGACCATTACTCAGTCCAGTCCATAATGCTGTGAAGTTCACCAGCCATGTTTCCCCAGTTACCTGTTCAGAAAACAAAAGTGTTTATTCAGATGGATGCATAAAGTTACATGGGAAAACTTGCGACTGTGACCCAGACTGAGTGATGTGCCGTGTCTGTGGCTGGCACAGCAATTCAGGGCTAATAGCCCACAGGGCTTTCATCTTTATACCATCTCCTCTTTTCTGTGAGTGTCTTTACTTTTTCCTGTAGTCTCTTAATTTCCCCCTTGTCCTTTTGCTTTCTCTTGCTTTTCACTAGCTTTTATTATTACAGCACTGTCTTCTCTCCCTTTTCACCAGAGAACATCGCTGTTTCTCTCTTCCACATGCATATACACACACATAATTCCCAAATATACTTAAGTGCTATATGTGATAGCCTGTAACAGTCCTGCATGTTGTCACAGGAAGGGCGGTAAAAATCACTAATAGCAGCAAAGATCAAACCAATTATTGCTCACATGAGATGACCAGATAGTTTTATAATGGATTTAAGGCCAGCTGTGGACTGCTGCCAAAAGGGCTGGTCCCATCCTTTCCCCCAGTCCCTCTTTCCTGCCTTGGGTTATCAGTAAGATGGTGACCTGGCTGAAGTTTCATGTTGCTTCTCTGGTTTTGCTGGGTTCATGTTGAGCTGGTGCAGCAAGGTCATGCTCTGAGGCTTTGTGTTCATTAGTGCCAACACGAGAAATGTGCCAGGGAAGCACAGCCAACAGGATGGGCAGGCCTGCCCTTTGGGTGGCAACATAGTCCTAGAAAAGAGTTAGCCAACCATTAAACACATCTTCTTCTGCCAGTAGTTATATTACAGAGTGATAAGATATATCTATTTTAAAGATTTATTTATAGAGGGGAAAAATAATTTTATTTGTAAGAACTTTGGACAAGACTAGCTCTTTGCCAGCAAAAAGTGCAATCCTGATGCCTTATAAATGACAACCAAATAGGCTGATTAGATAAATATACTTCCAAAGAATCTGTATGATAAGTGCTTGGCAAAAAAACTGCCTATGCCTACCAAAAAAAATTAGGACTGTTGCTTCTGTGCCCTGGTGTACAAAGCATCTCTTCCAGGTTTTTGGATTCTTGGAAAGACTCTGTTGGGGGGGGGGGGAAGAATGAAAACATGTGATGACCTGCAGATGGCCACAGTGCTCTGTGGGTTAAAGAACAGGGCAAAACACTTCTCAGCAAACAACACTAACTAGCCTTGAAAACAAAACATTTCTGATTCCAGAGAACATGTGGTAATCTCTTCTACAAAGAATGTGAACTAAAGGGGGAGAAAACTAAAATGGGACGTCTATTGCAACACAGTCAGGCTAAAAAAAATGTACAAAACCATTGTTTTCCCTGGCAGTATTTCTAAAATTGATGCCCAGTGGTTACCTTCCGTGGGAGCCTCCATGGGGCACACAGAGGATCAGATCTTTAGCTGGTTACATCAGTGGCAGCCCAGCAAATTGTCTGCCAAATAATTAATAGATGTATTGCTCTTCAGATTTCAAACTCGAACTGGGTTTTTCTGTGGGAATTTTTAAGTAACGGTGGGAGAAAAGAATGATCTGAAATTCAGAGATACAGACAGCCTTGTGATTTCAGCATTTCTTCCCGCCGGGTGGATACTTTGTGTTTCTTCTCCCAGAGAAAAGCCTTGCAGTACAAAGAAAAGGTATTCCATCCAAAAAGCAGCAAACATCTTAAAATTTTGATTCCCACCAAACTATCTCAGCAGGGTGACGTTACCACAAGCTAAAGCAAGAAAAGAAAGTAATTTTTGTAAATTCTTGGTTTGGAAGTGGATTCCTCTCCCCGCTCGCATAGCAGCCCGTTGTACTTGGCATAGACTTTTTTGGGAAAAATTTCAAGAATTGTCTTTTTCTACAGCAATCTGCAGTGGAAGTGGGGCTGTGCAGGGCCTTTTCTATACAGCACCTGACTGAAAGCCAATATTTCATTTTCTTTATGTTCAAACTAATGATAACAGATTAAAAAGTTACATGTAAGGAGCTGGGGCTATGGACCTAAGGAGGCAGATATTCTTTGGCATGGATGCTGCTGAATGCTTTGAAATTTGCTTTTCCTCCGGAGGTGTGTGTTTGCCTCCGTTAGCCCTTCCTTCACCATGAGCAGGCACTCCTGCCAGAGAAGCTGAAACTTGGCCCTAAAAGTGGCTGCGAAAACGGTACTGCAGAAGTATAGTAAAGAAACCCAAGTCAAGAAAATGAGATAGTTGTCCTTGTGAACAGATAATAGAAACCAGAAAGGGACTGTGAAACTCTTATTTGCAAAATCATGTCTGTCATGAGGAACCAGACTTGGCTTCCACTTAGTTTTTGTACAGGTGAAACTAGGGCAACTGTCTGTTCTTCACAACGTGAATGCGGTCAGACTGGTACCTGGGTGACCCCGCTCTCCCAGGTGTCAGCATCTTTAATTCATACTAGCAGGTTTGCGCTGTACTGGTGGTACCAGCAGAATTAAAACAGTAAAACAGTTGTGCGTAGACAAGCTGCACGGCTCCTAACAGTACACTTTTTCTTCCAAGTATCTGTTACCTGTATGTAAAATAAAAGGTCACCGCTGACAGTTTTCTTTATGGTAGTGGTCCTAAAGATATACATTAGGCATATGTATTAATTTTAACTCCCAACTTCATTGCCTTGACTGAGAAAGTTGTACAAAAGGCTTAGCCGATTATCCAATTTCTAGCCTTCCTTGCTAGGATAGAGATTAACTTTGCAAAAGGAGAAAGACCCCTACTACTTTTTAATGGCCAGTCTCAACATCGTAGTCCCTGCAGTCCTTTGGCTCACCCTTTGCCACCCCTTTTGTACCAGCTAGGGAATAGGAACAAGTATGCATTACAAATAGCGTGCAAGTCATATGTGGGGAGCAGGTCGTGACCATTTAGGCTGGAGGAGTGCCTTGGATCCCAGTACTGTTTGCTGAGAGAAATAGGTTTTTAATCTATTCAGGGCAAAGTTTAAAAATTAAACATAAAAATCCTGAATAGCCAAAGGGGATAAAATCTCTCTCCTTCTACTATAAGGAGACAGAAAGAGCAGATCATTCTTCATTTTTTTGTAGTGTTTTACACACTCGCACAAAAGAAGTAACGCACTTTAGTCTCTGGGGTTGGGGGAAAAAAAAAAAATCACTAACCTGTCATGGTTCTTGGATAGCGTTTCAGATCCTTCCCAATTCAGCAGGTAAATACGGGACAAGCCAATAAAGAAGCATTATATTCCTTTGAGACCATTCCTGTTTTCAAATTTCTTTGCAATCCTTGAGAACTTTCTTAATTTGTAGGTGGAAAGACTTATGCTTTGGGGTGGAACAAGAGAAATACTTTGCATTTTTGATACATACCACTACAAAAATTTTGCCTGTGCGGTATTGCCCTCTGCTGGCAATGGTCCGCGGAGCTTCACAAGTCCCACAGCAGAGCATGCTGGTGAGGTTCATCTCCTTTTGGAGGTGTCTTTCAAAGGCAGCGATCTGAGTGCTCATTCACAGTTGTCTTGATCCACGTAGTGCTCGTGGTTTGACTTATTTTGACAACAGAGAATCTTTTATGGACAGGGTTTTGTTTTAATACAGCTTTAAAAGTATTAGAGGTCTTTGATAATCATTCATTTTCCAGTGAATATTCTAAGAATCCATATTCGTTTTCGTTATAGGACCTGCCCTTTGAAGATGGTTGCATTACACATCAGTGCAGTATCGTATGATATGCTCTGAAGTAACAGAAATCTCCTTTTTTCTTTGTTCTTTTTTTTTTCCTAGTGTCACCTGATTCACTATCTGAGACTCAGCCATCACCTGATAGTTCTGAATTACTTGATTTGTACCTTTGACAAGCTGAAGTCTGTCTCCTCTGAAGACATTAACATCACGGATGCTATTTTTGACGGTGTGGAAGTCAGAGTGTTTGAACCTCCTGCAAAGCAAGATGAAAGGCTCAAGCGCAGCGTTGTTTACATCCACGGAGGGGGCTGGGCCTTAGCAAGTGCAAGTATGTGCCTGCCAGTAATTAAATAGGATTCTGGTCTGGTTTTCTCCTAGCGGAAGCCAAAAGCTGTTTTTCCTGCCAGGGGTGACGATTTTGCTAAGAGGTACCTGAATTCAGCAGTAACTGTCTCCACTCTGGTAGATCAGCTCTAAGGAGGGAGGGGAAAAATACCGTCAACACACAGCAGAAACGCATATCTTATCTACACATGAGTTGTAAAAGGACCAAAAGGTTAATTTTGTTACATCCCGAGAGGACAAAATAGCTTATTGTTTAAATTCCTGGGATGCCTGGATGGGCTGTTTGGGCCAGTCCCCCGTTTTCTATGGTCATGTGCAAATGTCGATCCTTGGTGATCAGGATCCAGTATAAGGGTTTTGCCCCATTTTCACACAATAATTAGTAGAAGAGTGGGCTGAACAACACTGCATGTAGCAGCATTGCTAATGTTTGGCTCTTAAATAACGCATACGTGGGAATACATGCTGCTGATCACAGACAACAGACAGCGTGATGAAGGAAACGGGTGGAGGTTGGTGCCCGTCCCATGGTTTGGCCCCCTCCCTTAGGGGACCACGGCCACCACTAGCAGAAATTACCTTGAAAATTAATGCTATTTACTCCAATTAACTTGGAAGCCACAAACATGATCAGAGAAAGTAAGGTATAGCTATAGACAACGGTAAGTTAACCACTGATCCTTCCATGTCATACAGGAGGAGAAAAGCCTTGGGAGGAGAAAGGGCGTGTGGTTCTCATGGCTGCCCCGAGATCCAGATCCGATAGCAGCCTTCCCTGATTTCCTTCCCCCTTGCTCCTGAGATGCCATGAAGTCCATACAGCCCTGATGCATTCTGTGGCCGCATCTACAGAAAAAGAACATTGATAGGGTTTTCCAAAACGTTCCAAAACAAAGACTGTATTGATTGCATTTGGACTATGCACGTATAAGTCACTTAGACCATGATTTAAGGGAGGTTTAGATTCCAAAATAACTTTAAAATCTGCCCTTTGCATGCCTTTGGAAATCCCAGTCTCTTTGTCCTACAGCAGTTAAAAATTTTGCTCCTCTTCCTACAGAGGAATTGTGCTTTGAGATGGGTTTTCTTAGGCCTGCCTAAGGGATGTTTCTTAGCGTCCTGCCCACCTCATTCGCTCTGCAACAGTTTGCATATGACTCTTGTTGTGCAAAAGTTTATATTAAATTAGTGCGCTTTGTTTGGATGACTATAAGACAACTATGTCAGATGCTATCTTCGAGTCCAAGCTGCAGAAGTTAATGGCACAAATGTTACAGCTAAATACTAAATTCTAAGACTAGATACTTTAGAAAACGCTTAGTGTCTTAGTATATTTTATAGTACCGGGAACCAACGATTAAGTAACTGGAAAGGAATAAAATTAAAGAAAATCAGTCCACTGATAAATAGGATAGCTGTGATTTATCCTCCCTTAAATGAGTAGTTCAGTTGATGTTAATAGGGCAACTCATTTGAATCAAAGCAATGCATGCTATAATAAAATGAACAACAAGCAGTGACTCATACAGTGATAACTGTCTCTGGATGCTAATGCCCCCAAGCCACTGGGTACCTTAAATTTTGCCCAGCTGAGAAAATTGTGATAGGTGGATGAAATGACATGCCCCAAGTCACCAAGAAACATATGAGAAAGAAAGCATTAGACTGCAGGACTTCTTAAGGCATGAATTATACTCGTTCCGCTACAATATGTATTTGGCACTTTATCTATTGCAAGCTGGTCTCATTTACTTTGCTTATATTTGTATTATGTCTTCATATTTTCTGAGAAGGCTTACGTACGGATTTGCGGCTATTGACATAAATGGACTCTCATGTCCTTTCATTCCAGGAACAAGCCTTTATAACAATCTCTGCAGAATCATGGCTGAATCTCTCAACGCTGTCGTTGTCTCAGTTGAGTGAGTAATCTAAAACTAATTGAGTAATTTTAAAGTGTTAGAAATATGTAACGTAGTTCTTTTAGCTTTTCCCTTTTTACTGGCTTGTGTATAAGGCTTTAACTTGGACAATAATTCTCTTTACCAGTCTGATATTTTTACCCTTTTAAAATTACAACAAATTGGAACGGTATCAAAAATTCATTTGGGTTTCTAATTACTTTAGAGGTCATTTTAGAAGGCAGAAATGTGGGAAAAGAGAGTAGCACTTAATTCAGTTGGATAAATACTAAAATGCAAATTTTAATGCATCTTGCAATTGTATCTATATGTAAGGAGTGCGGCTAAAACCTGAGATCACTCAAGTGCCAAGTTATGATTCTGTAAATACTTGTGAACTTTAAAAACAAACAAAAAACCCAGACACATTTGGACATGATACATACCTGAAGGAAGGCTGAACCACATCTCTATGCCTCCTCATGTAGCAAGAGGGACTTTTCCCATCCTCAGTGGCCACTCCCACTGCTGTAAGTCACATTTTTTTTAATATATATATATTAAAAATATATATAAAATATGAAAATAGATATATTAACCCCCCCTGAAGTCTGTCAATAAACCACAGTTTCTAAGTCATATTGAGCAAGGGTCTGCGACATAAAAATTATCAAATCATTTTACCCCAGCTCATTAGCCAGAATACACCGTGGAGTCTGGCAGTTTCCTGCTGCTCTCTCAGTCTCCCACTGTTCCAGTCATCTCATTTAAGCCTTGTGCTCCACTCAAGCGCAGAGGACTGCCGGGGTGCCAGACAACAGAGAAGCAGGGCTGCTTTTTTAACTAGCTGAACAATTCCAAGGTAAACAAACCTCTCAACTAGCTAACTACATTACCTAGATGACTCCAACTTGATTGGTACTTTTCCCATCCTTATTGTCAACTTTAATATTTTCTTTTGCAAACCCAATCACTTGATAGAACTACTCAAGTTTCCCACCTGCAGTTGATTACATACCAAGCTCTGTGATCTAATTGCAGCTTAATTATATGGAGTTGATGTTACACATTCAATACTTAGAGCGCACTTTAAAGGGTCGCTTTTTTTTTTTACTTCTTTGTTGTTTATTAGTAGAAACAATGAACAGTAAGAAAGCAGCTGTTGGTTATTCCAGACGAGCAGCGATCACCGTATTGAAAAGTTCCTTATTATTCCTTTTCTGTTTTATGGCAGTATAATTCTGCCTGTTTCTCTGAGTTATTGTTTACCTCTTCTCCTTAGCCATTATATCTTTCAGTCAAGGCATTTGTACTCAATTAATGAAGACTAATTAGATTTCTCATTGGTTTAATTGCACGTCTCGCTTTCATGATATATGCACCGTCTGTTATCCAGTTTTGCAAGGAGCTCCCAAAGGACTCTCTCATATTCCTTTGTAGTTGATGCAATATATAGATTGCTTTCTGAAAGCAGGTCAGATTTGGAGTTTGAAACACTTTTCATGTAACCTAAGTTTAAAATTTATTCTGCATATGAAACTTTTTTTAGCTTAGATGCCGAAGAAAATATTTTGAATCAGAAAACTGGATTTTATTTTGCTTGTTTTGCTCGGCTCTACTGAGAAAATGTAAAATCTGTTGATTGAAAAGCTACAAACAGAAGACATGCTTTGTACCATAAGGCTTAGTAACAACTCTTAGATTACAAATTATTCAGTAAATACGAACAGGCTTCTCCTGCACTGTTATTTAGAAACTGAGAAAATCTCATGAATGGGACTCAGCTGCTGACTGTTCCTGGGCAGACTGTTTGCTCTCTGTGCCTCAGTCTCTCCACCTGTGCAATGGGTATATTCCTGCTCCACTCCTCGATAAAGAAGAGGAATTACTGAATCTGTTGCATTGGAGCAAATTGGTATTCACTGTTTGGCTATTGTTCATTTCATGGCACAGAGGTATAGCAAGATTCATTCTCTCCTGAGCATAGGTAAATTCGGGAAACAGAACTGCTTAGCTGTTTGGCTCTGTGGAATCCGTTGGTCGTATGTGACTTACTCTCCCTTGTACTAGTTAAGGTGGGGATTTGGATCAAAACCAGCCTGGTTGTAATGACTCCCTTGCCAAGGGTGTTTTAAATATTCATTTATTTTTATATGTCTGATGAAATCCTCTATTGGGAAATTCTAGGAAAGTGCTGCACAATTTTATACTATCTTGGCATTAGTCATATCTAATGGGTTCATATTGATCTTTCAGAATTAGAGCATTAATTATAAGATTAAGTCTTACAAAAGTATTACACACCTCATATTTTTCCCGTAATATTTATCCTAATGAAATAGTTATTTGCCATTAAGGAATACCTGATATCACCTATTAATGCTGAAAGAGAGGTACATCAACGGTAATAATTGTCTCTCATATCTTTTCTTTGTAGATACAGGCTGGTACCAGAGGTGTGCTTCCCCGAGCAATTCCATGATGCTTTTCGTGCTACTAAGCATTTTTTGCAGCCTGATGTCTTAGCTGAGTATTCAGTTGACCCAAGCCGAATTGCAATTTCTGGCGATAGTGCAGGAGGAAATTTGGCAGCTGCTGTGTGTCAGCAGGTAACATCCAGTGTCTGTTATGTATTACACTACAACAGTCCCTAATTCAGTGATGCATATAGGTTGACAGATTCTTTGTGCTGTGTCATCACAAGGTGATATGCCAACCCTAAAGACAGAATGGTAGAAAGCCAGCATCTAGTCACTTTACCGAAGAAAAATGAGTCAATCACGATATGAATCACATAGCTTGCAATGTCTTACTACAGTTACGAGTTGTTATGGGCCAGATTTTAAGAGCAAGTAGCTAAATTACTTTTTTTACCCCTTTTGCTGGTGAATTCTTTATTTTCCTAAGTAGGTAACTAAGTACATGTGTAATTTGTCAGTTTAGCTTCCCATTTTTAGATGCTTGTCTCTGAAAATATATTTTTATTTCTTACAAATGAAGGACAAACTATACAATAAATGAAGCTTAATTCTTCTATTAAATTGTCTTCCTGTAGCATTTTGCAATTTTAAGGAAATTTCTTCTGTGTATCTGCAGTTTAAATGTAATCTGAATTTAATCTAGTAAAGATTTTAAAGGCAGCCTGGGGCAAGTAATAATATTTTTCATGGTTGAGTGAAATATTATTATTAGCTTTTTTGTATTGCCATAACCATTGGTGATGAGAAAGCAGATACCATGTCCAGGCAACTAATTATCATGACAACCTTGCAATATTGAATTAGGGTGAAAAAATGAATAAGGGACAATTACACTAAAGTTTCAATATCAAGGACTGATGAACATGATAGTACCATGTTTTGGAAGCAGCATTCCTAATTCGTTTCCCTGATGCATAATTCTTTTTAAATCAGTGATGTAGGACTGTTTCAGGGAGAGGTTAAATACACTAAGATTCTTCAGCCTGAAAAAGAGACAGACAAGATGAGATATGATAGAGAACTGTGTATCTTGTGTAGAAGATGAAGCAAAACTCATGTTTGCTGATTCTTCCAGAAAAAGATTAGGGGGCACCAAGTGTATAATTGGTAGGCTCAAATCAAATGCAGATGACAGGTTCAAGTCAAACACAGAGAGGTGCTTCTGTACGTAGTGAGCCTTTGCTAGAGAAAACTGTGGATGCCAACAGTTTGCATATGCGCAAAAAAACAATTCGATAAATTCTTGGAAGAAAAATCTATTAAAAACTGTTACAAGCAAGAATAGCTCCTTTGATTCAGGAAGACCTTCAGTTGCAAATTGTTAAACTGGGAACTGTGGTAGCTAAATGCCACTTTACAATTATTTTTTTTTCTTCTTACACCTTTCAACTTCTGCCAATGATTTCTGTTGGAGGCAGGATACTGGATGGCCATCCTTACAAGAGAAGAAAAAGATCAGGCTGCTAATATTTCAGCCAAAAGAGCGACATTACCTGCATAAGAACAGAATTCAGCCTGAAAATTGTCAAATGAGTGGTGGCTTATATGAATTTAAGGTTGATATTGTAATGTTTATTTTCTTTATAATCCCAATCCTGTCCTATATTCTTCCCACAGCTTAGCAAAGAGGAGCATTTGACCATCAGACCAAAACTGCAGGCCTTAATTTATCCAGTCCTTCAGGCATTTGACTTCAATACACCTTCTTATCAGCAAAACATGAATATGCCCGTTCTTCCTCGTTATGTCATGATCAACTATTGGATAGATTATTTCAATGGTAATTATGACTTGGCTCACTCACTGCTGATTAACAACCACACTGCTCTTGACGTTGGCCAAGCTGTCTCTTTCAGAGGACGTCTGAACTGGACATCTCTACTGCCTTCATCGTTCAAAAAGAACTACAAGCCTGTAATACAAACCACAGGCAAGGCTGAAATCATCCAGGAGATACCAGCTCTGCTTGATGTACGAGCAGTCCCACTCCTTGCAGAAAATGAAACTCTGCAGCTGCAGCCAAAGACTTACATCCTGACCTGTGAGAATGACGTCCTGCGAGATGACGGGGTGATGTACGCCAAGCGCCTGGAGAACGCCGGTGTGGAAGTCACGCTCGATCACTTCGATGACTGCTTTCATGGCTGTATGATATTCACCATTTGGCCTACTGATTTCTCTGCAGGCATTCAGACCAGAAACAGCTATATAAAATGGCTGGATGAAAACCTCTGAAGAAAGAGACTCTCTAGAAGACACAGGGTACTCAACTCTGGTGTCTGTTCTTGCAAAAGAGCAAACAATGAAAAAGTGCACTTTTCCAAATTCAGACTTCATCGGTTCAGCTGCAGCTGCTGCGGGTTACAGACCACTAACTACAGCATTCACTAGCTCGTTTGGCCTTGCCCAGCAAAGTATTTTGAGAAATACTTTTTCAAACTTTGATTCCCTCCCCCCCCCTTCTTTCAGATGATAATTGCCAAACATAAACAAGCGTTGAGCAGGGAGATCAGCATTCCTGTAGCATTCTTAACTGGCTGCAACTTTCAAGCTTTGACTCTTAATTGGGCACAAAGGCCACGATTTTCAAATGATGTGAGGTAAAGCCAAACACCTACATCTACATCTGAATATGTAAAAATGGGAGCTCAACAGCGGTGAGCACTTGATGTCAAAAAAAGTGTGAGCGCTCTCACCTTTGACAGCAGAGCTATGCATTTGAATGTCAAGCATGGATTTAGGTGTTGGCTTTCAGGCACATAGACAAATGGCTTATTTAAATTTGAAAAAAAAAGTTCTTCTAGGCAGTTAAGATGATGCTAGACAAGTCTCCTAGCAAAACATGTAATTCAGCTTTGGAATTTGATCTTTATTGCCTTTTAGTTATTTATATTTTATAAAAGCACAGGACTAAATATATTTTCAATAAAAGGTATTACAGCATACATACAAATATATAGGATAAAATACTATGTGTAGCAGCAGAATGCAGGTTGTTTATGTGAGCTTCAAAGCTGACTACTTACTTGGCTCAAGAATGTGACTTCGGCAGTGTTTAAAGCCTCAGCTTCACGACCTCCTTACAGAAAATACTGAGCGTACTAAAAAAAAAATCTACTATGTGGTTTGCACTAATGTTTGTAATAATAGTAGTTTTTGTTCATTGACTTTTCTTTTGTGCTTGTAGTGTTTATTATATTTCATGCTTCCTGGAAGGAGGGAAGCAAGCAAATAGAAGTGGGCTCTAATCTATATGGAAGATTTAAATCTGAGCTTTGCAGCTAAACTTTGTCTTGGAGACTGACCCAAAACGCTAGGTAAGATGATCTCACTGTTGTGCAACAAATCTCTACAGTTTGAGCCAGTCTGTAAATTCCAGACAAGCAGGACAGGGAAGCGAAACAACTTGCGGCAGTGTATGTTGTCCAGGATGCTTACTGCTTGCAGAAATGAAGGTTGTGTCAAAAGCCCAGTGTTTCTAGGCAAAGAGGAGAGAATGGCTGTCCCACGACTAAACTAGTGGATTAAATTCGTCCTCAGCTTTACCACAGACTTCCTGTGGGACTGCAGGAGAATAACTTAATCTCCTTACGCTTCACTTTCTTCTTCTGCAAGAGAGGGAGCAGTAATTTCCTACCTCACAAAGGAGCTGTGAAGCTGAATCCACAGGTGTTGGTGAAGCACACGGATGTGACGGTGACTGGCAGGCACTGAACAGCTCCCGTAGCTTTTGACTTTCCATCCTTCTCTAACAGCTGGCTCCGAGCAGCCAGCCCCATGGTGGGTGGTGCTGCTAGGCTGCGGGTCCTCCTGGGCAGTTAGCTCATCTCTGTCCTGGCTCCTGTGAAAGTACCGTAAGGTGAGGCTTCTTGGCTGTTGGGAGATCATGACAAAGGCACTTTCATTAGAGCGTTTCTTATGGCAGGATTCTGAAAAGTTCTTTAAAAAAAAAAAAGGCACTGGTAGATCAAACTGCCTTCTATCATTTAAAATATATACAGACCAGTCCGCTTTCACTGGTATTTAAATAAGAGAATGGCTTGGCTGAATCATTGCTTCCTAGAAACATCAGGTTGTTAATGTGATCGTATGTATTAAGAAAAGCTATTAATGAGACAAGGCCTCAATGTAGACTCAGTCATGCAGGCTGAAACTCATTTCTGGGCATAGGTTCACACAGAGGTCACAAGCCAAAGCTTTTTCAACAGTGGCTCAGATTCTTCTTGTTACAAAGACTCAGTGGAATTAGAGCGGCTGAGTGACAATCTGAATCGGAATAAATTTCGGTCAAGATACCCAGTTAACACTGCGGAAGAATTCAAACTTTTTTTCTGGATTTAAACCCTCTTTCCTCCTTTTCCCCCATAAACAGAACTTCAGTAGATATAATTTACACTTAGACAGCAACGAAAGTTATGTCCATTCTAAAGACAAATTACTAATCTTGAAGAAGGGTCTGCTCCAGTGTCCTTTCCACTGTATGGAGACAGCTCCATGTACTTGACTTTAGACCATGACTCACAAAGTAAAAAAATACCGTTACGCTGAGTTGTAACAACAGACTTCTTCCTGGTTTTCCCACTTAAAGAGTAAACCCATGTCAGAAAAGATGTAATTTATATCCACCTGCCATCATTAAAAGATAGTAGGAACTATAGTACTGGAAAAAAAGTGGTTAATGTTCCTATAAATTCTATAATAATTAAGTTTGCCTGAGAGCTGTCTGCAAAGCTTTAGATCAGCATTTGTTTATATCTAAGTTATAAATATCTGCTAGGAAACTATAATATAATTACTGCTAGTTTGTTTTTTTTTTTAACTGAAACGAAATGGAGAGCTGGAATATATATTCATGGAGTTGGTTGTAAATTTCCTTTATGCACTGAAGCACATTAAAGTCTTGGCACAAGAAATGGTAGTAAGTATATAACTGGACTGAATGTGTTTACTAAGTCACCACCAGCTTGACGCGACATCCAAGATCACAGCACAACTTGGATGAGATATTACAGTATTAACTAGTTCTGTCAAAATATCTTGACTAATTTTATCATTCAGCTATATGGTTTAAGTACGTGATAGCTGCAAAGATATGTGACAGATCCTGTAACGGACGGATAACATATAAAAAGAGGTCTGAGTTCCAGGTATAAAAAAGCCTTTTAGTATATAGCCACACAAGACACGAGTAAAATTCAGTGTAAACCTTGAAGTAAGTGTTAGTCCAAATTCATCTTTCCTCCTACTTTGCTTTGTTTTCCTTTGCACACAGTTCCCGTGCCTGAAGTTGAAAGTTTAGGGTTGTTTCCAGCTGAGCTACTGCAAGCTCCTAGAAACAGAGCACTAACGCAGCTGAGAGCTCAGCCGGGGCCGGCAGGCATGGTTACAGAAAGCTGGTGCCTGATAGCAAGAGATTAAGATTAATGAGTGTTACAACACCTCGATTTGTTCATGTGTTTACTCCTACATCTCCTGAAGTGTTTCCTCGGGCATACCCAGCACCTTCATTCCTTGGCTATTTCACAAAGCAGTTCAGGGCACTTTGCATGTTGTAGGATCAGATCAAGTATTTGTAACAATATTTCACCTGTGCACAGTAAAAAGTCTTCTAAAAGAAGATAGTCAATAAATTTGTTTACTTATCTTTTCACGAAATCAACAAGTGTGGCTAACTACGTTTTGAAGATTGCTTTTTTTTTCCCCCCGCTCCTACAGTTAGACACTATCTATCCATTGCAAGAATATCTTGTTTCTGATGGCCGTCAAAGCATTCAAATGTAAGCTTTAAAAAAAAAAAGCTCACGTAACAGAACCTATAGCCATTTGTATCCTACTTTCATAGACCTAGGAACTATATTAGCAGGTCCCCAGTATTTTGGCCGATATTCACAGGAATAAATAGAGGTTTTGTCTCCCTAGCTTAAGATTTCTTAAAGGATGGGTGTTCGGCATTTCTGAAAACTCAGACCTGTTTAAAGATGTTTCATGGTGCATAGAAATCATTAATAACTTGAATTTCCTAACCATCTAAGTGATTCCAAAATTGCATCCCTAGCCAAAGCAGAAAGGCCATTGTGGGTTTAAGTCCTACAAACTAAAAAGAAATGCTTTATCTTTAAAACATTATTTTGTAGTGTTTGGGCCTCTATATTTTTTAATTAGGTGCATCATGGGCATATTTTTTAAACTTTTACTAAACTTTATTAGAAACTTTTTCAAATAAACATATTAGAAGTAAGTTAACCTGTCTTAAACCTTTTAAGCTGCTATGATCTGTAACAATGATGTTGAAAAAACCAAAACCAGCTGCTTTAATGTTTTCTTATTTATGATGTTTAAAACCCCAAAGTACAACATACTTGATGAATGCATTCAATATCTTATGCATGACCGGGTTTTTTTTGCTTCTTTCCCAGTGCAGGGGAAAGATCTTGCAAGATCTAATTAGCAACTGTGATTGAAATGTGCTATCAAAATGAAGAACAAATAAATAAAGTGAAATATATCTGTGGTGGTTTGGGTTTTTTTTCCCCAGATGTACAACATTTCCAATTTGAGTTTTCACCTAGCAGAGGTCAGTGAAACAAACGGGAGACCTCAGAGTTCCTGAAGAAATGCTGAACCAAAGCCAAGGTGGTTGTTTTCAAGGCAGGAAACATTGCCTGTGTGTCCATGCTCTGCAAGGGTGACCTCTTCTTACTTCATTTCTGCCAAATGATTAATGGTGACCACATTTGCTGGCGTTGAATAGTGGACGATACCTGCACTACTGTTGTTCCCCTCTTTCAAGATAGATAGTGGAGCCTGTGTTCTCCATTCTGATCTATAAACACATTTTTATATGTTTATAGATTATTTATATGTTTGAAATCTGTTTTAGCCAGTGAAAGTCCTAGTTTCATTTTCATTCCTATTTGCCTTCCTTTCACATTCTTTCTTTCTGAACTGCTACTCATTTTCTTCCCCTGCTCTCTCATTTATTAATGGTCATACCAGCATTACTTTTGAAATATCCTAATGTGGGGGTTTGCCATCTTGTCCAGCAGGGTCCTGAGAATTTCACAGAATATAAACTTTCCTCCTGCTGAAAAAAGTCCTGGGCAAAAAAGCTTCAAAGTACTTACAAGCCTATTTTTCAGTCAGCAGGAGTCATACTCCTGCTTGCATTAAATTGAATGCATTAAAAACAGGCTGGGCCCCATAGAACATTTTTTTCCAGTCATGTTTTCTTAGATTTAGTAAAAAGTCTGACTGTGCAGGGCTTTGTAAGGCCAGGGCAGTGCCTCCCACAGCTGGGTGCAGCCGTGCACGTCACCCCATGCCGGGTGGCGCAGTGGGAGGATGCACAGGAGGAGCCGCTGAAGGACTCGCTGCCGTCTGTGCTGCACTTCCACAGGCACTGAGCTCCTACCTGAGGACTGACAAAGCATCTGGCACAAAATCCTCAACAGCACCTTCAAATGGCGTGAGATGAGTATGTGAGGCATCTTAATTCAAGCGTTAATCTGCCATAGATACAGCACATTTTTTTGCAGAACTACGGTGCTGTTGAGTATGAGACATTCCCATGGGACTGGCTGGCATGTCTAAACTCATGGGAGAGACACGCTTGGAGGCTGAGCCTGGTGCCAAGTGCATCTCTGATTGCACTGGATGCCTCGATGGTGCTGGAGCTGCATTTCCCTGTTCCCATTGCAGCACCCTATTTCCTACCTCCTACCCTCAACTGCAGGACCAGAGCAGCAGCGGGTGTGTGGTGGGGCTGTGACCCAGGTGTCCCTCCACCCCACGGCCAGACAGCCCACACAGCCTCGTGTCTCTGCATCCAGAAATCCTACCCTTCACCTGCATCACTCCTGGCTGGGCACTGCTCCTCGCCTCGCACTTAGAAAACTCTTTGGAGCTGGGCCACGCTTTATTTTGTTCATCCCCAGGGTAGGCACACATTTTCTCCTTGTTCTTAATTCCATTTTTTCCTGGCACTAATCCAATGGCATTTCTTTCTTTCACAAGTGGTGTTTAAATAGTTGGCAGCACATCATTAATATAAGATTAGTTTTACCCCTAATGTAAATTTAATAATTTTCACAATTATTTTCTACAGCATTTTAAAGTGTTTATCAACCGTTCAACAGGAAGACAGGCAAAAGAAAACAAAAAAGCCTGCAATGGCTCCTTTAAAACTTCTTTTTACAGAAACAATATTTTAAATAACTCTTTCTGGCTTTATATAAGCAAGAGAACACTAAATATTTCCACCACACCCACCTGTTCTTTTCTGAAGCAGAATCTCTACAAACCACAGCACTTCCTATCATAAGACAGTCTAGGGATATAGGAGAGGCAGAGTTTGTTAAAGGAGAGAATATATTTTATATTAAGAGATTTAAAACAGCAATAATAATTGGTGTTATGGAAAACTACTCCTCCCACAAACACTGTGCCAGTATCAGGACAGGTGCAGTACACTCAGTGCCATCGAGATGTGGGATTCAGAGTATGGCGGAGGAATAAAGAAAGGGAATTTTTACTGTTGTCATGGTTTAACCCCAGCTGGCAACTCAGCACCACACAGCCACTCACTCCTCCTCCCTG